ACTCTCGCTGTACTGTCCTTGCGCATACTTTGAGGTATCCTCGTAATAACCTCATACATGTATTATGTTAAAATTTCACTTTAATCAGTGTGGACTGAATACAGACGCTATAGTAATGTCAGACGCTATAGTACTAAAAGTAAACTTCTTACAAAACAGCCAAAGTGTCTTTTCAGCAAAAATTAATTCCAGCTAAAATAAATTATTTCACAGTATTGTATTCAGAGGTTGCCTCCAATAACCGACACTGACTTTAATCACTTTGAAATGTAACAGATGATATTCTCTTCACTGCGGGATCTAGCGTAATGCGAAAAACACGGTTCAAATGTCGGTAGCAAACTTGGATTTTTCTTTTTTATACTTCGTCAAAATTCCTATCTTTCAGAGAAGAATATTGCATTGAGATGTCTTGACTTCATCAAATATGTTTAGCCTATGATTAAGCATGGATCAATACCTCAAAAATAGTTTTGAGTCCTACGCAATGTTTAGACGTCACTACAATGCTACATGTATAACCTATGTTTGTCCTGTTTTTACGTTCAAATTCACACATAATGCAAAATCTCGCAATGAATAATTGTATAATTGACTGTATTTACAGTGGTTGATTTTCTTTCATGGATACTGAGGTCAAGTATGATGTATTAATCGTGTTCGAGCGTTTGTGACTGAATATACAAATGTATTGTGATGGGTTTCTAATCACTATACACGTATGTCGTCACAAGGTACGAGTTCAACTCATAATTGATCGTTACATGATTTTTTACGTCAACATTTTTGTACAAAACATTTCTGTCAGGCAAAACAAGAAATCAGTAGATGTAAAATAAATAATGTTATCGTCACCCAATTACGGTCAGCTATCGTTTTGGCTTTCCATTTCATGGTGTGTTTGGTAAATGTTGTAACAGAGAACAACTTTAACCGAAGTCAACAAATCCAGTGAAATTGCTCAAAACATGAAAATAGTGAAAAATAAATAATTTTACAGTACTAAGGTGATTATGATTATGAATCCAAACCATTCCAGCATATGTTTATTAATATTAAAAATTCCTCTCAGAAGCTTTCACTTAGGCAATGCTTGCTTATACATTAATGGCAACATGTCAACCATGAAAAGCTAAAGAAAATGATTAACTACAGAGTGACATATTTGAAAGAGCTTCGTGCACTGAGGCATTGAAGCCTTAGAAAAATTGGATATTACACATATTACATAAGAAATTGTGACCCACTAAAAAAAAAATTACAAAACTGATGGGTAGAAAATTGAATGGTTGCATTCATTAGATATTTTATAGTAATATTCATCTAAAAGTTAATATGTTCATGTACCACTAATCATGAAGAGACGTTGCAAGCGTACATGTATATTACGTTATGGTAATATGTACTCTTCTGGTTGACTGTACACCGTTGTCGATTTTTCCTGGCGTACTTTATAGATTTCATTATTCTGTCAGTCACTGGGGAACATAGACAATTACATATGAAGCATGTTTCAAATGTGGAAACGCTTGCATTGTACATATCCAGGAATTTTTTCAGCGAAATTTTGTGCTCGATTTTTGTTTCATATTTTTTTATAATATTCTGTATGAACAAACTCGTCTGAATTTTGTTTTCATATTCTTTAAAAAGAAATGTGAAATAGTACTGTAGTGAACTACTTTGTTGGGATCATAATTGAAATGAAATGTTGCTCAAGCTGAAGAGATGGAAGTGATGCGAATAATATTCATACACATACATATGAGTCATGTTTTAAACTTCGTTATGCAAATTTGTTTAAATTTATGCATATATTCATCCACTAATGGGTGCTAATTATAAATGTTACTACGATAATCCCTGTCTGACGTACTCTGAAACAGGGACTTGTGTTTTGGATACCATCTGTCTATCATTGCGTACGCGTCTGGACCAATTTAGTAGGAGTTCGTACAAAGGCAAGTCATAATGGTCTACATATGCTGTCAACGTGTCTTACATTTTATCAACCTTGGCTGAGCTCTTGGTTAATTTTTCAACAGAAGAACTCAGATTCCCAAATTTGAGCTTGTAATCAGCCAGTTTTCAGGCATTCCAGGGTCAAATTTATTCTAACTTATTCAGTTCAGTACACATGATGTTAATTTATTTGTAATCTACATGTAACAGAGCAAATACTCTACATACAAAACTGTACGTCATGCAGACACACTTCTAAAAGGGCAGATATGCTACAGAAATGTATGTTCCATTGTGTATACATGTATACGCTTCTAATATATTACAAATGCAATTAAATTAAATATAATTTAATTGATGCTTTCAACTTAAATATTTTTGATTTCATTTAAAATTACCATCACAAATAAAATTTTAAACTTCCTGCTCTGAGATCATTATGCTACGTGTATTAGAGAAATTGGTGTTTGCGGCATATTGGATTTTGTTTGTCACAGTGAAACATTAGTAGAATACATTTGTACCAGTAAAATCTAAAAGTTGGTTTAAAATTATAATTAAAAAATTGTCAGCAAAATTTGTTTAGCCCTAAATACAATGTACCCTATTCGTGTTGACTTCAAATTTCTTCTAATCACATATAAGGCACTTCATGGCCATGCTCCAATTTACATGTACTTATCAGCTCTTCGAAAGTCATACAACTCAACTAATAATAATCTTCTTTCCAAAGCGCAGCTTCTACTTGAAGAATTCTTAGTAAACTCATCAAATATGTACGTGAAGTTTGTCTTTCTACATCCAGCACAAAAACTCTAGCATAATCTGCCATTCTTAAAATATTACCATTGGGGAGTGTTTCTAAATCGTCTTTAATTATCGCAATAAAATATTAATAAATGATAGCATGAAATAGATTAATCACATCCCCCGCTATAGGCCTCCATGGATATGTACCAAAATCGTCAGCAAGTGATTTGTAATCCACATTCCTTAAAATAAATATTTACGAGCGAATATACAATAATTTAGTGTAAAATGAGCTGAAATTCAAATGTCATTCACTACGTGACGTGAGTAGGACAACTACTTAACAACAGTCTGGAGGCGTGAAATACAGCGTTCCTTGGAGTGAATGGGA